TGTCTCCCCACACTGCAATTTGGATAATTTCTTCAGACTTCTTTTCTTTTTTTTTTTTGTACCAGGGATTGAACTCAGGACCTTGTGCTTGCAGGGCAGGCACGGTGCCACTGAGCTAAATCCCTGATCCTATACTTACTTTTTTTTATGAAATCTGTTCCTCTAGTGAACCCTAACTGATAGAAGGGTGAAGAAAAAGTTTTTAAAAATTCTAGGACTAAAGCAGAAGTGAATGTGACTTCCCCTTTATAGCTATCTTGTGTGTTATCAAGAAGTTTGTATGAGAAATGGACATTTAAATGTATCATTGTGCTATAGAAAGCTTTGGATTTTTTTCAACTTTGGCCATGGTGAGTTTCAAATAAGTGGGCTGACTGAACAAATTACAGGCATGTTATGGTATTTCAGAAGTTGCCAATTGTGAAGACAATATGTTTTTAAAAATTAGTAACTTGTGTACAGGGAAATTAAAAAACAAAAAAGCCAACAATTGCTGATTATGGGTTGAATGTGTTTTAAATGCTGATGAAATAGGTATACTGTACAAGTTGTTACCTCATCATGTACTTCATGCCAGAGGTGGACTTTGCAAAGAAAGTAGATGGATGGTTTGCTTTATTCTGCTGTAATGCATTTTGGACCATTCATCACTGGCAAATCAGCTAATCCTCAGTGCTTCAAAATGTTCATTTATTTCCCTGTGATTACCAATCTAGTACACATGTCTAAATGATGACAAATGTATTAATGAATGAAAGGTGCAAAATGCAGTATCTTCTTTCTGGTAAGACATTTGCTCTACCCATTGTGGATACAGGTAGCAATTTAACGATTTTTCAAGAGTTAGCAAATCCTGAAATTGCTACAGGTATACTCATTGATGTAAAATTGGAAGCATAAAGCCATAATGGTAATGATGAAGACATTGGCAATGATAACCATAATACGCATGGGGGACAAGTGATGGAACAGCCAACAGCAAACATTTCTCAAAGCCTTTTTGAGTGTAGAAAGTAGAGAATCCCTTACCTTTCAAGTAGATGTTCCTCATGAGGTACTTACCCAAGTGGTGTGGATGGATGTTTAGTGATCAGTGCAACACAGTGTTTTGAAAAGCTGAGTACTTAATTTTCTTCATAACTCTAAAGTTGCAAAAATAACTGCTTTGAAAGTCTGTTAAACAGAAGATTTGGTGAATAAAGAATACTTGTACAAAATATCATGTTTAAGTGTGAATGTTTTACTCCTGTTTCATAACGTTTATTGTACAGGAAGTTGCAATATTTCCCCAAGGAGTTTTATGGTCATTAATTTCAGGTGTTGGATGGTTTCTTGTTATCCCTCCTCCCTTCCAACATCCACTCAGGAAAAGGAAGAGGAATGATACTCGGAAGAGAAAAATATTGTCCAATTGTTGATAATCCAACTAGGAGAAAAAAGATGAAGACATACTGGATTTAACAAGTTAGATGTAGAATAGCTATGAAAAAAATAATGTTTAGATTAAGGAGATAGCAGAACTTGTTCTTCCTACAGAGTTGCTGATAGGCAAAGGAGGAATGAGTAGAAATGCCTGCTTCTTGGGATAGTGAGTGCTTGGTTGACCTGGTAGAGGAAGATAAGGGAGAAGTGGGCTGGAATGAAGCTGTAGGAGGAGATACTAAGCAAAGGAGTGGTAGTACTTCCCTTGGGTTTCTGTGGAAGAACTGTTAGAAGGTGAGGAAGAGTGAAAATTGCAGGGATTCAAGGAGTGGATTGCCCACAGGCCTCTTAACCATAGCTCTGGCTTTGTGTATCAGGTTATAATGTGACTCAGACCATCAAACCATTCTCTGGACTTCTGCCCATCTCACCGGTTTAAGAGATGAAAAATAAAATAATGAACCATTTTACCAAACAAAACTTAAAGCAATATTTACAAAGTATACATTATATAAAGTAAAAATTGACGATCACTTTGGGTGCATGTCTGGAATTTAGAATGAGTATAGAAATGATTTTTTTAAGTTTATCAAACAATTGTGAAGAAAAATATATTGTTTTGTTTTTAGGTAATAAATCATCATTAGTCAAGATGTCTTCAGCACCTGAGCCTCCAACATTTAAAAAGGAGCTGCCCAAAGAAAAAGACTTTCAAAACCCAGGACTCAGAGGGGTGCGCACAACAACTTTATTTCGAGCCATAAATCCAGAGCTCTTCATTAAACCTGTAAGAAATACATCCAGGATAAGACTTTATAGTTAACCAGATATAGAATTAGAAAGTTCTTATTTCCCACCAGCATTTGATTTTATCATAGATAGTTTATGTTGACCCCTTCATGAATAGAACCAAATCAAAGGAAATTTTTAAATGCTGTTTCACATATAAGTAAAAATAAAATATTTTGAAGGAGCTTAGGAATTATGATGGAAAATGGTTGCATTACAATGGAGCAACTTCTCAAATTAACAGTTTAATTGTTGCATTAATTTGAAGGCAGATATTGTTATAATTCTATTTCATTGTTAATCTCTCACTGTGGCTAATATATAAATTAAACTATAGAAGCATGTATAGAAGAAAACATGTTTATGCTGTGTAGGGTTTGGTGTTATCTTTAATTTCAAGCATCCACTGGGGGCCTTGGAAGGTATGCCTCATGGATAAGTAGGGGGGACTACTGTCATACAGCAGGTATGGAGACAGAAGCAGCAAATACTATACATCACTACCATGCATCACTGACCTAAGGCCAATTTCTTGAGTACAGAATGTGTGGAAAGGGGGAGGCAAGTCACAGGTTTAGAAATCACAAAGTATAATGGGACAAATCAGTTCTCTGTAGGCTTTCCTATTTTTTAAAAGCCTGACCCCCAATTCAGGGCTACATCACTTTGTTTCCTAGGATCTTCAGTTTTCTAGCAGTGCATCAATGTTATTATAACAGCTTAATATCTCTTCTAATCACTAAATTTCTTGAGGTAATAAAGTAGGTTTCAACAAAAGAATTTAGACGTGACATTATTGCTGTGTCTAATATTTGTTATAGAAGATTTTTTGACAGTTATCCATGTCTTAGGCAGCAAAAATAGTATGTCTGTTTTACTTTTTACTTCCTAATAAAATATACTAATTTGAGATTTGCAAGTAGGACACTTGGGTCCAGGAAAGTTAAGCACCTTCTCCAGATCATACAGATACCATTGAAGACTGAGCACCAGACCAATATCTGTGCCTCATTCCTCTGAGCTGTCACCTTCCTGAGGGTGGAGGTCTTAGGATATCCGGGCTGGAGAAGAGAAGCAAGAGTCTTCTATAATCTGTAAATAATTAGGAGCTGAGCTAATTGAATAAAGAAAATAAATGATTATAACAAGTTTTGCCATTGGAATGCTAACGTGGTAATAAAGATATGTCATGCCAAGAGGAAAGTATAATAGATAGTTGAATCTCCTCCAATTATTAGTCTTACTGAGGCTTTGTAATTTTTTTTTCTTTGACAGAACAAACCTGTAATGGCTTTTGGATTGGTATCCCTTTCACTTTGTGTGGCTTATATTGGTTATCTACATGCAACACAAGAGAATAAAAAGGACCTCTATGAAGCTGTTGATAGTGAGGGACACAGTTATATGCGGAGGAAAACATCTAAATGGGATTGAACTGCTACTTACTGCAGAAGGAGTTTTCTTAAGAACTCTGAAATCTTCAAATGAAAGACTTTGTGAGTGCATAGAATCATATCTTTTGTTCAATAATATGTTAATGAGAAGATAGTTGCAGCCACATCATTGTAGTAAATTTTGTCATTTTACAGCTGTAGCAGTTAATCTCATTCTTTTTCCACAAAAAGAGCTCAATATTTCTCATTTATTAAATTGTCTTATAAAAGTGCCTTGAGGATGGAAGTCATTTTTGTTAATTATTAAGTTCTGTATAATAAAAGTACCCAGTGCTGTTAAATTTGCCTGAGATTTTTTATAACATTTTAAGGTACATTGGGCCTTTGCAGCTATTGTGAGAGTTTAGTGTTATTTTGTTATTTGCAAAGAAAACATGTACTTTCTACCTGGCATAAAACCTGTATTTGTTTTTTTTTTTTGGTACAAGGGATTGAACTCGGGTCCTTGTGCCTGCGCAGCAGGCGGTGAAACCACTGAGCTAAATCCCTGGCCCTAAAACCTGTATTTGTAAAGAAAGAAATAATAATTTTAAAGCCTGTATTTAAAGTCAATATGAAGATATGAGAAATGAAAGCTTAGTTGGATTTAACAGATAGTTTTTGGACAGCTTACAGTCGTAGATAGTTCAAGCATTTTGGTTTTTATTTCAGCTACTTTTGGTTCAGAATTTTAATTGAGAAGATGCCCCCCTCAGTTACTAAAATCATGATTAAACAAGAGAGTAAAAGTAATTAAGTTTACTATAGTGAAGTATATTTTTTACTGCAACTGTTACCTATTTTATTTTTTATAAATCAGTGTTACCATTGATTAAAAACTAGAACTACTCATAGATAAAAAATAAAGTCTCCTTACCATACTAGGTTTACCTGATGTAATTTAAATCATTCTGACAGGGTTCAGGACCTGTTTCATTTCTAGGTATATGCATTTAGCCCATCCTCCAAATCACTGTAATTGGCAATCAGTAGTAAATCTCATCTCTGAAATTTTGTTTCATTTGTTGTTACCAAATAATAATAATAGCATAGGCAGAGCTTATCATCATAATGTTAATTATAATTTGTAGTACTTTATTGTGGTTTTGCAGGGTACATGAAGATGCAGTTATGTCTGATTTATAGATATTAAAGAGCTTAACTAATTGAGTTTATATGTGTGGATCTAACTTAAATTTTTACTACTGAGCCCTAAATGTTTCTTTGCTATACCTCTCCATGTAGTATACTTCATGTAGTTTAAAATACACTTATAGGGTAAAAAACAAAGCCTTTTAATTTAGATATTTTACTTTTAGTTTCCCTGTGTATTTTTGTTGTCAAAGATGTAGTTTTTCTGTTTTTACCTTACACACTTAATGTTATATTTTCATATATCAGAATTCTTTTACTAGTCAACAAAATAAGTTGATACTCAATGTCATGTCAGAGGAGATATTGATTGGGTGAATTATTAAGAGAAACTACAGCATACAACCTTAAGCTACGCAACTTCTGCGTTTAGGAACAAAGATACAGTCAAGCACAGAACTGTGAAGAACAATGTGAGGGAGAAATCACACTGAATTTTAGAAATAAATACCTAATTATAATGTTTTCTATAGGGTGGTCTTAGGTTGTAGCACAGTCTTTGTGTATGAAGAGTGTCAAAGGATGCCAAGATATGTATGGGTGTTTTCATCCATTCTCTGTTGAATGAGTGCATAAGCACAAAAAATAAAATACCCTTTGAAATAATCGTAGGATTTTGAACATTGGACTTACCTGGTCTAGTCTTGTCAGTTTACGGTCAGAATCAGGCTGAGAATTATTCAGATTTACTCAGAGTCACAGTGTTTCTCATTCAGCACAGGTACCTAGATCTTCCTCCAAAGTCTAAGGGTCTTTTCACTATACATCCTTTTATGTCCAGTAATGGGTAAGCAGCCACACTAGCCCTTAAATATAAGACATTCTGGTCTTAAGTACAGAAACACTCCTGTATTTTGAAGCAAAATAATGTGAAGGATTAAGTGCTAACTCCCTCCAAAGACCATCTCAGTCTCCTACTGATCAGTTAAGTGTGTTAAGTCTATAGCATTAAAGGAAAATGCCACTTGATAAAGTCAGTTGTATTTAAGAAGGGGATGTTCAGGGGAAGATATTTGAAGTCTGAGTTCAAATGGCTAAAGGAAGGTCTTTCATTATGGGAATCAGCTTGAGCTTGGGCAAAACTGATGCAATAGATTAGGTCTTAAAGCAAGTCTTGGTGAGTAAACTATTGTTTGATAAGGGATAAGTAACCTTTTGCCCAAGGGAATAATCTTTTGTTCTGATAAGAGAGCTATTTGCCCAAATCAGCAAGCTGTTCCATTGATAAATTGGCTTTCAAAAATTTCCTAAAGCAAACTTGAAGTTATTTATTGGCTTTACAGCTTTATTTTCCATAGGGTGACCAACCCTTCTGGTTTGCAAGGCACTAAGGGTTTCTTGTGTTGCAGTACTTTCAGTGTTTTTGTTGTTTTGTTTGTTTGTTTGTTTGTTTGGGCAGTACTGGAGATTGCCTTTGCACTGAGGTATGTCCCTAGCCCTTTTTATTTTTCATTTTAAGACAAGGTCTCTCTAAATCACAATTTCCCAGGATAGGCTCAGAATTTTGATCCTCCTGCTTCAGCCTCTCACAGTGCTGGGATAATAGGCTTGTGCCACCACACCCAGCTGACTTTCAGTTTTAAAACAAGGACAGTAGGAAGCAAATCAAGACCAGTTTGTTAGCCTCCTTTCTGGGCAAGAATTTCCAAGGTTAGGAGAATCTTAGGCATAGATGGCCTTTGTTCTCAACCCAGATAATTAACTGTGAATGCAGTGGTCTCAGTTTTCAGTAGGAATTCATCTCTTTTTAATCCCTTTCCCAGTCCCAATTGACTATCTTGAAGTTGAATCTGACACCACTTGATAGTTATTTAAGGTCTTCAATCATTTATCAGGCCATATGGCTTAATATAAATGTGATGCACAGAAAAATTATGGGGTAACTTTTGTGACACACAACCCAAGGCCCTGATGTAACCAGCTTACTCTAGCTCTCAGGTTCTTGTTTTGGGACAATGAAGTTTGAAGCCAACAAAACAGCAAGGAGCAAGCAGTGGGGAATGGCCAAATGCATGTTTATTAGAAAAAAGAAAAGAAAAGAGCTTCCTGCTTGTTGGGGAAGGCTAAGTCTATTGACCTTTTATACAGTTTTGGGGACTGGTGTATGTGACGGAAAGCCAGGATGCTCCTGATTGCATGTAGGGCTTTGATGTCTAGACAGCAAGCTACTTCATTTGCATTGCATTTCTTCCAAGGTCTCTTTCATTTGGTTAAGAACCTGTTCTTTGTCCCTTGCATTCCATTAGCCCCTGATGGTCAGTTTGCTTAAGTTAATTATTTGGACCCTTGGGATGTTAACTCACTTAAGCCCTGACTTTTAGTTTACTTCATTTCAGGTTAACTATTTGGGACCTGTGCCCTATCTACCTAACTTCCCCTATTTGTTGGCTTCATTATGGGAGTTCTGTTGTTGAAATTAATTTCATCAATGGCATTGATTCACTATAAAAATCATTCCTACCTAGTAGATGTTGTATATGACATTATTAGGTGATTTTAAAAAATTCTGTCACTTGGTGTAATCATTTGCACAGATGTTTGTATAAGGCAGAATTTCTAAGGCTGTTTCTCGAAGCTATTCAGAAAACTAAGGCAATAGGATCACAAGCTTGAGGCCAACCTCAGCAACTGAGACACTATTACAAAATAAAATTTTAAAAAGGGGCTGGTGATATATGTAGCTCAGCATTCTTTGAGTTCAATCTCCAGTACCACAAAAACAAAACAAAAAACAGGCTTAGTAATTTTGAATAATGACTAAATGGAAGCAATTTTTCCTTTAAGATACCATAAGATTTTGCAGTTTCATTGCCAAAGCACCAAAACATCACATTTAAAGATAACCTGAAAATAATTAAGAATCTGTTTCTATTTTTGGCTGCAAAATAAATTCATTCTTTAAAAAGCCTATTTAAAACAAAGTATGGTGGGCCAATTAATGCCCCCCACCTTTGCAAAGATGTCCAGATCCAATCTCTATGAATATGTTACTTTCTATGGCAAAAGGAATTTTGCAAATGTGATCAAGTTGAGGATTTTTGAGATGGGAAGATCATCTTGGATTATCCAGATGGGCCTGGTATGTCACACAGGTTGTTAGAGGCAGAAAATCAGAGGAAGAGACATCACCATGAAAGCAGGAGAAGAAAAAGCTATTAGTGTGAAGAACATGGGTGACTTTAGAAGCTGTAAAAGTAAGGAAACATTTTCTGCTAAAGCCTCCAGAAAGAACTGGCCCTCCTGACACTAAAGAGACTAATTTTGGACTCTGACTTTAAGAAATTCAAGAGAATATATTTGTGTTGTATTTAAGCTATAACGATTGCATTAGTTTGTTACAGTGGTCATAGGACACTAATACAGAAACTTATCAGGAAAGTGAATGGCTACATCATGCTGCCTTTGTCATTTATTTCAAGTTGCTTTTATGAGCAAAGCTTATGTTACCTAGCAACAATTGCTGAGTAATAACAACCTAATGCTAGTGTCCAGAAGGGAGAACTTGTTTACCTCTCCCCAAATCAAATGCCTATATCTTATATAGGCTATAGGCTTATATATATATATATAGGCTTTTAGTACCATTCTTTAGTGTTAGACACATTATCACTATCTATGGTAAATCATTTTGTTTTTACCAGCTTCTAGTACTATCCTAAAATCCTGAACCTCTTCCAGCTTAAATGTCTAGCTTCTTCTAAAACTACTTTTGCTGATCCTAAGATTATTTTAACTAAATAGTAGAAGACATCTGAAATTCAACTATGATCAGAAATCCAAATTACACAAACTTTGTTTGCTGTGCTGTTTGTAATAAAATAATTCCACCGGCTCCTTTTGAGGAAACCTTCAAGAGGATCTATGAATACAAGCCATTTAAGACACACTTTTACACTCACAAAGATATACTGGGTAAGTGACTTTATTGTTTTCCTTTATTCTAATGGTGAATAGCATTATATGGTATTCTTCCTGTTACATAGACTTATCAGCTTTTCCCTGTTTAAAGTTGCATGTCCCTACAAGGGTGTCTGGTGTGAAAGGATACATGTTAGAATCCAGTTATGTGCATTGGCGAGGGTATTTAGCCTTCTAGTCTATTTCTTTATGTGTGAATAAGAATATTAGTATGTATCTTTTAGAATATCATGAAGTTTTAATGAAATATTTGTGCCTATTATAACATCTGGAACATTCAAGTAAATGTGAGTTCTTTTCACTCTTCCCTTTACTTGGGTACCTTTCAAATGTGGAAGACAGGAAATATCTCTAAATAATATCCTAATAAATGAATGAAAGAAACTGTAGCCCTTAGTAGCTAGTGACATAGAAGTAAGTACATATAAATAATGTGAGAATATTTACTGTTATATACATGCAGTACATAAGAAAATCAATTGTAATTATAGATTTCCATCTCATTTAAACATAAAAAGGTACCAACAGCCTGGATTAGTATCACATTTTTATGAAGTTCAGCATTTCGGTGGTTCATGCTTAATCCCATTTCTTTCTAGAAAATCTTTCATAGTTGTATCTACAAAGTGTTAAGCTTTTTTTTCTTTTTTTTTTTTCTTTTTTGGTACTAGGGATCGAACTCAGGTCCTTGCACTTAGTGTTAAGCTTTTATAGTACCTTGTATGTCCATCTCTACCTTAGTATTTGCTGCCCTATGTTTCATGACTCACTAATACTCTAGTGGGAAAGATCATAAGCAGCCAAACTGTACTTTCGGTTGCAAGTGACAGAAACACAATTCAGAATAGACTGTTCTTGACCCTTTTAACAGAATAGTTTGAGGAAGATCTGGCATCAGGGTTTCAATTTGTAATGCTTCCTCTCCTGAGGAGTTGGCTTCATTGTTTACTACCGAAGTGAGGTTTACTCCAGCAACTGAAAAAGGAGTGCTATAAATCCAAATAGATCTAATCATCAATGACCTCCAGTTTAGAAATCCAGAGGAAAAAGCTACATACATCCTTATATAAAATCCTAGGGATGAGTCTCTTAGCCAAGCTTGAGCATGTGCTAATCATGGCCCAATTACTGTGGCCTAGAGAAAGTAAGAAAGGCCAAGAAGATTGGATGCTGTGATTGGCAGTCTTACCAGAACAATCTCAGGTGAAGGAGGGAACTTGTTGAGAGAAGTAGGCCTTGTTACTAGAGAGCAGAGATGTAAAGCAGACAAAACACACATGTTCATAGTGTAATACATGTGAGTACTGCCAAGCTAGGCACCATGAGATGCGCTTTGTAATTTTAGAAAGTTGATCATCAAGACCTTACCACATGAAAAGTTACTAATTTAACTTATTTAAGATATGAGAAATTAATGGAGTGAAGAATAAGTACTATGAGAATTTACAGAGAAAAATCACTGTGATTTCAGTACCCAAAGAGCTTATCATTCTGACAACAATTTTTGTCACTTTTGACAACCTCTTGGATGTAAAAAAAATTGGCAAATCTGTGACCAATTCAAAGTACTCAGATGTTGATTCCAGGTTCAGTTCTTCCTGTATCTGTCTGATGTTGTATCATTCTTTAACCTCTCTAGACTTAATACCCTCTCTGAATAGAGAGGGTATATAGGCTTTTTATTATTTGGGAATTAAATTAGAGAATTGACAAAGAATAAACTACTCCTTTGATCACTCCACTACTGAAGTAGTTAAACCCACGAAGATTTGTATATTAAGCAAAGGTACCCATGTAATGTATTAAAGAAAGTATTTGGCTTCCATCCTCCTGATAGAGGCTGCAGCAGCAGCCAGATAGGAGCAAGAAGAGGGGAGAAGAAGAATATGCTAATATCTCTTGAATATTCACTCACTATTCTAATGTAGATGTAAAAAATATATCACTTTCTGCAGGGCACTTATTTCATGTAGCTTCCCCAATTGCCTGCTGTCTGGACTGAGTGTGATGAGCTGAATGATGACCTATTCAGGCCTAACTATGCTCTTAATTCTCTCCCAATCAGGGAAAATTTACCTATATCTTTCAAAAATAGATTGCTGACTGTGCATGTATCTCAGTGATAGGGGGTGTGCTTAGCATACTGTATTAAATCCCTAGCACCAAAAAAAAAAAAGTAGAGAGAAAGAAAGATAAAGACAGAAATAGCTGGGTATGATGGCACATGCCTGTAATCCCAGCACTCGAGAGGCTGAGGCAGGAGGGTCACCACACTTTTGAGGCCAGCCTGAGCTACATATTAAGTTTAAGGCCAGCCTAAACTACATAATGAGACCCTGTCTCAAAATAAATAAATAAAAATTTAAAAGACTGAAAGAAAAGGAAGAAAAAGGAAAAGAAAAGTTGATATCTCCTAAAAGGATATATCTCGTAGATGGCTCACATAAATAGCTAGATAATGGTAGAAAGGAAACCCAGGAAACAGTCTACGGAGATTTGTGATGATTTCTCTTCAAATACACAGATATTGGGGCAGATATTCTGAATAAAGAAGAGCAATTTCAAGAGGATGCACTCAAAGAAAGTATTGCAAAAGCAGAAGCTAAAGTGTGGAATGAGGTAAAAGAAGTTAGAAATCAACCTAAAATACATATTTACAGTTCTTTTACTTTCTGGATTTGTCTAAAGCCAAATTACAGCATAGTAGGCAAGAGCATAGACTGCAGAGTCAGACAGACTTGACTGAATCCTGGGTAGCTGTGGGATCCTGTGCAAGTTCTTCATCCTCTACAGTACTGGCTTCTTTGGGATAATAACAATAATAATGATAATAATAACACCCATTCAATAGAATTGTTGAGAGGGCTCACTGGAATATAATACACCTGTCACACAGTAGGTGCTTAGCAAGAAATGGGTCCCATCAAGAGCTTCCTTTTATATTGCCCACTTTGTATGAATTACTCATTCCTTCCTAGTCCAATTAAAACTTGAAAAGGGGCATTCATTTAAATTATGATGGGCTTACATTTAATATATATACACCATTCATTTTGTGCTATATGTAATACCCCTAGACTAAATACCTATTTTTTCCAAATGCTTTATCTTGTCCTGCTTTTCTTTTCATTTTCTGTCTCCAAAATCTTTGGTACTGCTGGCATAGGGTGCGTGCCCATCGTCCCTGGTATTTGAGGCAGAAGAATCACTTGAGTCCAGGAATTCAAGTCCAGCCTGGGCAACACAGTGAGATGCTGTCTCAAACAGAAATCCCCAAATCCTTGATGCTTTGTGCATATGATTGCCCTCTGCTAATTTTGATATTAATAAATAATTGGACTCTTTCTTTCAAAGGCCAGTGAATGCCAAAAAAAAGCAGTGGAGAAAGCACTTGAAGATGCAAATGCCAGATACAAATTTCAAATTCAGGTTTTGGAAAAAAAACATCAAAAAGACTTACAGGTTCAGAGTGGCTTGTTGTCTTTTAAAAAATACATTAGTAAAGAAAAATTAAAGTACTTAAGTTGGCAAGGGAATGAAGGGAAAAACAATAATATGTGAAGTCTATGGTGGTGTCACATAGAGGCTACAAGGGTGGCCTCGGAGGTTCACTGAAGAGGTGCTGAGCTCTGTGGAGTAATAATGCTGTGAGGGAAAAACCCCATAGCTTACTCCCTAAAGGAAGCTTTACCCAGCCAACCCTGCCCTGCCACCTATCCATGACACCTGGATCGCCTTCATAGCAATCATCACTGTTGTAATTAAATAATTGTGTGATTAATTGTTTAATGTCTGACCCCTTCATGACTGCAGCTTTCATCAGAGCATGTCTGTCTATCTTTGCATAAGCTCTGGTGCCTTTCATAGTGCCTTAACTTAGCAACAGGGGCTTAGGGGCTCAAATGGTTATTGAACAAATAACAGGCTGTTCTCTTCCTTCTGCACTTCTGGCTGCATTCTTTTTCCTAAATTTGCATTTCTGTACTGCCAGGAAGGCCATCTGAGCTGTTCCTAAAGTATTCCTTGCAGGATCATGGTCACAAGATGAGGGCAACTCTTTCTAACCTGCAATTTGTTCAGTTTCAAGCACGTGACTCTAAGTAACTAGTAACTTTCCAGGCAGAGGCCCTGAGATTCATTGTTTAGTTTGGTACCTCAGTTGTACAATCTGCTCAAAGGACAAGGATACAGAACAATTTTCACATTTGTAAGGGAGAGAAATAGAATGAGACAAGGTTCAGGTGTGCTGATACATGGGCAGCACTTTGAAGAAAGTGGCAGAGATCTGGTCCAGGTTTAGCCTAACTTACTAAGAACAGGAACTGTGGGCCCATGCATTCATTTTTTCAGTAATAAACTCCTGCCTTATACTGTATTAGTTCTGTACTAGGTGAGATTAAGTGGACTGCCCTCAGAGGGCTGGTAGGTAAGGCCTTTGTCCCAGGGTTCTGAACAAATAGAGGGATGCTGCCTGCTTGGCACCAGTGTTCTACTTCAGCCAGGTGTAGCATGATCCCCAGGGAGCAGGCTGCAGCAGTCCACTGCCCATGCCCAGTAAAAGAAAAATACCATGAGTCATCATCCATAAGGTCAAAACAAACCAGGTACTCAAGAGAGAGATAGATATTTTAGTTATAAAACCTGAAATTTTTCTTGAAAAAGACATAAAAAAGTCTGTCAACTATCTGTACAGCAAACATGGAATTCATGAAGCTTTTTCCTATCATATCTCAAAATGTGGGCCAACTCATTCAAAATGTATCTTAGTAAAAGCAGACCTTACATCAATAAGAACACTGCCAAGTAGCAGGTTATTGAATTATTTCTAGAGCTTCAAATATGTATTCCACATCTATGTGAAGCAGTAAAATGATCTTAGTTTTATTAAATCATTACATAAATGAGGGACCAGGCTTAATTCTCTGAGCCCTAGTTCAAAACTTACCCAAAATAAAGGGCTAGGCTTAATTTTAAAATTCTAAGATTCAAATAGAAATATACGTATTAGATGATACTTCACCTATCTGAAGCCCAACCACCTGATAGTCTTAATTATTGAAAATATACTTGAAAACCCAGAGATAAGCTAAAATGTCCCCTAATTAGTTAAATAAAAGCCTCTGACTACAGAGAATTCAGGCGTTTTTTTCATAGTAAAACCTCTCCATCCCCACTCTGATGTCATTTCATTACACGTACTTGGCAAACAACCCAAAAGAGTTGGTTGCTTGATTTTTCAAATCCAAAATAGAGTAAATGTTGGAAACTAGAAATGACAGAAAGAGAGGGGTCATTAAAAACAGAAAAGATAGTCCTCAGCCCAAGGCATGGGAAGAACAAGAAAAACTACAAAGAGCATACCAGATCTCCAGCTTCAAAGCAGTCTGGGATCATTTACCACAGAGACAAATATTCCTATTAAGTTGAACAATTATTTAGTGCCATATGAAGTTTTTAGCTCATACAATCATTCATCTTTGTCTACTGAGACATCAGAAAAATTAGTTTGACAGTTGGAGAGATTAGCCTTCAAAATACTTTATCAAAAAATAGCAATTTGAGACAATGCTTTCTTCAGGATAGAAAACCCAGTTATCATTTCTAAACCACCAATGTTTTTCTGAAAAGATTTTTTTTTTTTTTTTTGGTACTGGGGATAGAACTCAGGACCTTGTGCTTGTGAGGCAGGCGCCAGAACCACTGAGCTAAATGCCCAGCCCTGAAACGATTTTCAAAATATACCGAGGCCACTTTGAAGAAGAGATGAAGTTGATTTTTGTTGCCCCTCACCCCACCCCTGAACAGCCAAAGTGAGAAGTTGAAAGGGTGAAAGCGTTCCCTCTCAAAAAAACTAAAATCTGTCAAACAATTCGGTTTTGGTGTTTGCTTGTTTGTTTGTTTGTTTATTTGTTTGTTATGGTGTTGGTTTTGGTGTAGAGATTGAACCCAGGTACCCATCCATGCTAAGCAAGCCCTCTCCCACTGAATTACACCCCCCGCCCATCTAACAAATATTTTAATTGTTGAAACATTTTTGTAAGAAGCTAAAAGCAATTTCCATTTGATTTCCAGCTCCAGTTTAAGATTCTCTCTTGGTGCACCATAAATGGAGCTGGCTCCCTTGGACCGAAACAGAAAGGATGCTAAGGGGATTGAGCGACCTTCAGCCAGGAGAACTTTTATTGTTTTTATTCCTTTCGACTCTGAGTAAGATTTCATTTGAAGGAGAGATTTTGCTATTTTACAAAAAGAAAGGTCTACTATGCTATCCTATATGCATGTACAGGGTTTCTGGAATGAAAAATAAATTGATGAATCTCTTCAAAGACTCTTAGTATTTTAACCAACAATGAAGGGAGAAGCTGACAGTTGAGAACCTTGATTTTTTCCCTAGTTATCCCACTGAAATAATTCAATTACTTGTGAAGTAATTTATGTTCTCCTAATGTCCTAATGTCTTCTTTTAAAAGAAATAGAGATAGGGCTGGGAATTTCCTCAGTGGCACAGAGCCTGCCTCACAAGGGCAAGGTCCTGAGTTCAATCAGTGGTACTGGAAAAAAAAGAGAGAGAGAGAGATAAAAATTTATCTTTAAATGAAAGTTTTGAAACTTCTGGAAAGAATTAATTGCTCCTACTTTCTTGCTTATAGTTCCATTACAACACTCAGTGCACACCTAGGTTGTTGGTCTCCTCCACTACACAGTGAGTCCTCTGAGAATAAGGGTCCTAGTCTTTTCTGTTTGTTGCATCTGGGCCAAGCAGAGGGCCTGATATGCCGTGGAGCTGGTAAGCATTTCCAAGATGGCAACAAGGTTTTCCTTTAGGACTATTTGTAAGATTCTTCTGACTGGTGCTTCCTCTTTTCATTTGGTTGAAAGCTATCTATGGTCTTCCAACCCCAGAATAATGGAGCTCTTGTTTCTGTTCCTTCCATTAATAAGAAAGGGCCCCTGGACACTAATTATCTCAAGTGGGGACTGGAAGACAGGTTCTGGTGACTGCAGTAATGTGTATCTGTTTTCTGTCTGAGCCTCAGTTTCCCTCCTAACCCAGCAGATACTCAGGAGGCATAATTATTTCTGCCATTTTACTATGTATAGTGATAATATGATAATCAAGGAAAAAAGACCTGGTCTGAGATTATAGCTCAGTGGTAGAAGGCTTGCCTAGCATGTACAAGGCCTTGGGTTTGATCTCCAGTCCTAAAAAAGAAAAAAGAAAAGAAAACTTTACCTACCCTCTAACCCAATATTTTTTGCATATTCGCTTTCAATATGATCTATATAGTATATATATTTATGCTACATAGTTTGTACATTTTTGGTTTTGCTTAATATCATGTAAATGAAAGATTTCCATATCATATAGATTCTTCTTTTGAATCATCAGTGTTAACAGGCAAGCATTCCAATAAGTAATTGAAAGTATGATTTAGATCTAACCTCTTAGTATTCATCCTAAAACATCAAAGCTATAATATCTAAACCAAGTTTTTACATTTAAGGAAATGGCAGATAAAACAGACAGAGGTGTTTCAAAACATGGGTGAGGAAATGAAGAGAGAAAACCTGGCTGCAGAACAACGCATGGTTCATCGAATCCAAAGAGTTATGATGGAGTGCCACAGAGAGACGATCGAGGCTGTGCAGAAAGCCAGGGAGGAAGAACAACAGATCTCCCAGTTAGCACTCATGGCCCAGAAAAGGTATTCCAGAGAACACACTGCAAATTTGTACTTGACTTTATCAAGGTCCACCTGGAGAAAGGAATAAGGTTAGGGTACATAGGCAGATATTGCCCAGTTTTTCTGTTTTTATATTTTTATTGTGAAATTTATCAAATATAAGGAAGATATATTAGAGGGAGGGGTTTATAGAAAAGTAGTAACATAATTACTCAAGGATCTAACATCCAGTTTAGAAACTTGGAAATCACCAACACTTCTGAAGCTCCTGTATGTTCTTCCTCAGTCATATTTCCTTCATTCCCCTTTCCACAGATAACCACTCTTCTAAATATTGTTCTTCATTCTGTAACTCCGTTTTGAGAGGCTGAGGAGAGAAATCAAGAAACATTTTCCCATACATATATAAAAATAAATATTCTTTTATTGTATCCCTAGTTTATACATTATTTTAGATGTGCTACTTCTTAGAGTTTTTCTTCTTACTAAGTAATATATGTTTAAAAAGTTGACTTTATGAAAATATATAGATCAAAATTCACAGGTTCTGACTTATTTCTTCCCTACCCTTCTCATCTTCTCAGAGACAACCGTCTATATCCTTCCATAGTCTTTCGATGTATTTATAGCCACATATGTGTGTAATTGCAGATCATTTCTATATAAATCAAGTCATATACGTGCCATAGGGAGAATGTGTGGCCTATATAGATGAAAAGAACACCAACACAATCATTTCTATGTAGGAGATGAACATTTGATGAAGTGGGACAGTAGTCAGGATACCAGAGCTCATTAGGTGCAGGGAAAACCACAGCTTCCAAATGTTCAGTGACCTGCCCAAGATCACTGAGCTGTAGTATCAGAACCAAGACTCAGACCACCCCCACCCTCTTTGGCCTCCTGTTTGTTTGTTGCTTGAGTTAACAACCAAATCCATTTAAACATAATCAAGTAAAATCTTTTTCATAAGAACTGTTTAGAACAGGGCCAAGAGTGAAATCCTGGAAGAGATGCACATCAAGAATGAGGGCTAGGGCCAGGGATTTAGCTCAGTGGTGCCGCCTGCCTCGCAAGCGCAAGGTGCCAAGTTCAATCCCTGATACCCAAAAAAGAAAAGAATGAGGGCCACAACTTCGGCAGTTTCAGCATGTGTTCCTTCCTTCGTAGACTGTAAATCATTGCAGAGGTAGAAGAGAAATGTGAGAGAGAGAGTTTCAGGAGGGGACCAAGGAGTAAGTTGTGGGCCAATGTAGTGGAAAGTAGACCCTCTTCTCCCACCACCACCACCACCAAATGCAGGAGCTCTACCCTTCTGCTAGAGCCTGGGCTCCACTCCTCACACACACTCGCAGGCCCCTGATCCCTTCCTTGCTCCATTGCTTTGGCCCACCTCCAGCCCCTTCCTCTATGAGGTTTGGATGGAAAGCTTTCAATGTCCATTTAAAAAAATTAAGTTTATTGGTACATTTTAGGTGTACAGTACAGTTTCATTCATCATTGGGATCTTGTACCTTTACATGATGTATCTTGGTTCTTATTTTTCCCCATCCCCCTGCCCTCTCTTCACCCCCTCCAGCCTTCCCTATTTACAAAGACTTTGTTTCTATTTTTTCCTTTTCTCATATTTTTTCTTTTCCCTTCTTTCCTTTCCTCTAATCCTCCTACTTCCCCTACTCCTTTAGACCTTTTCTTCCTATTTCAATTATCAGTGATATGTTTTGATCCTTATTTACACTTTTAGTTTTTCACACCAGAGAAATTATTTGGTATTTACACGTGTGTCCTATTTATTTCACTTAAGAGTATGGCCTCAATGTGCATCCATTTGGCTATAAATGTCTAGTTTCTCATTCTTTATGGCTGAGTAGTACTCCATTTTATAAAACAAACAAACCCACATCTTCTTAATCAGTCTCCAGTTGATCAATGTCATCTTTTATTGAGTCAAAAAACTAAGATTAGAGAGCTGTATTGCTTAAATACCAGAATACCTTTTATTCACTGATATTTCCCACATGACTAGAAGAGATTGTGGCACATAGTGGACATTCTTTAAATATTTATTGAATGAATGTTTTACATTTATTTTAATCAGCTGAACTCTGCAGTATACCAGACCTTATTTCTAGATATTACTAGATTTCAGTGTTCTTTGGAACATTTGGAGGAACTGGTATATATATACAGAGAGACCATTCATTATGTTTAGAGTATTTGCTTTCATCTCCATATTTTTTAAAATTTAAAAAATCTATTCATATTTGGTGCATAATGAATATATTCATCATGGAGAGTTGGTATATGTACATATCATACCTTAATCCTTTTTACTTCCCCTCCCCTACTCCATCTCCAGATCCTTTTCCCATTTGTAAAAGGTCTATCTCCCATTTCCTATTATCTTTTATTTTGCTCTTTAAACTATTTATGCCTTGGATTTCTCATATAAGAGGAACCATATGATATTTAAGCTTCTCTTTCTGATTTATTTTACTAATCATTACAGTCTCAAGGTGCATCTATTTTTCTACAAATGACTCAAAATTTTCCTTCTGTATGGCAGAGTAGTACTCCATCATGTATATATACCACATTTTCTTTACCCATTAATCTGTTGTGGGGCATGCAGGCTGCTTCCAAGATTTAGCTGTTATGAGTTATACTGCTATAAACATGGTTTGCATGGGTAACTGCAATATGATGTCTTTGACATTCAGGAAGATACCTAGAAGAAGAATAGCTGGGTCAAATGCAATTTCTATTTTTAGTTTTTTCATGCATCTGCTTATTTTTTCCATAATGGTTATACAAATTTATACTCCTATCAACAATGTAGAAGGTATACAATAGAGTACTACTATGCCAAAAGAAGGATAAGCTTGAGACATTTCTAGCTAAATGGATGCACCTTAACACCATACTCTTAAGTGAAATAAATTAGACATACATGTTTAAATACCACATTGTTTCTTTTGTGCAAAAAACAGAAAGTTCTAGATAGCCATTCTCTCTGAAGTAAAACAGAACTTCACTGTTGTTTTAACTTGCATTTCTCTTATGGCCAAAGATGTTGAACATTTTTTTATATACTTATTGGCTATTTATATTTCTTCTTCTGAGAAGTATCTATTCAATTCAGTGGTCCACTTTTTGGTTGGGTTTTTGTTTTGTGAGTGTCTAATTTTTTCGGTTCTTTATTCTAGATATTAGTCCTCTGACTGAGGAATACCTGGCAAAATTTTTTTCCCATTCTGTAAGTTTTCCCTTCACTCTGTTGGTTGTCTCTTTTTCTGTCCAGAAGCTTTTTAATTTGATGTAATCCCATTTGTTGATTATTGGTAATATTTCTTGTGTAATTGGGGTTTTGTTCTGGAATTCCTTGCTTATGCCTATGTCTTAAAGAGTTTTACCTGTTTTACCAGCTATAGTTAGAATTTCGTAGATCCTTCATCTGGCTATAAATTTTAATCACAGACTTAAGGATTCAGTACACTTACATAGCATGAGAAATATGTTCAATGAAGAGAAACTTTTTTTGTGGATCAAGGTGACTATCTTCTATACAGATTACCTAGGAGACACTGGACTCTTTTCTCCTAAAGTTTAAAAAAAATTGGAGAGAGCAGGTGCAGGCTGAGTGTGCCCTGCTCAGTCCGGCTCGCTCTACCCACTTGTAACCAGGAGACCCAACCGGTGAGGACCCCTCAGGCATGCCCACCAGCCTCCAGTTTAGTTGCATGGGTGCCTGCAACAACAGGCGCCCCCCCACCACCACTCTTGGGTGTACAGCTACTTGGATCCACACTACAGAGGCACAGGAGGGCATAAAGGCCATTGTCCTGAGGTACAAAAGTGAACAGAGAGAGGGCCTCTCACAGGCTCCCTGATGAAAACTGAAGCCCACTGGAAAAGTGAAGAGAATCTCTGCAATAAAGGCACACCAGACCACCATACTTGGAAAGTTGGAGGGACCATCACCTCCCATCAGAACTTGGACTATCTTCAGGGGAAAGGCAGCTGAAACCTGCAGTAGGACCTTGCAGAGTTCAACCCTGCGGAGGACAGGGAGCTCAACTTGGGACTTGCAGCCAGAAATCTGCCTGAATCTCACGAGTCTGTGACTGGTTTACTGGGACTCATTGACTTATAACTACACACTGCTGCCCATATTGTCTATTGTGACAGCAGCGACATACCTTGAAGGAAGCCCTTCATTTTTATCTTTTATTTGTTGTTTTCAAAATTACCACTATTTTTTTTGCTCTTATTTTTAATTTATTTTCTTATTTGCTACTCTTTTAAAATTTTTATATCTCCTTTTTTTTCTTTTCTCTTTTCTTTCTCTCTCTCTCGCTCTCTGCCTCACTCCCTTGCTGTCCCACATTGTTCTTCATCTCCCCTTATGTTCCTGTTCTGCCTCTTAATTCCTATTTCTTCTTTATCTTTCTTTTCTTCTCTTTCCTTCTCTTGCCTCTGCCCTCTGGCCTCACTGATAATCTTCCCCTATACTTCTACTTACCTATTCTTCCCTCCCCAACTCCTTCTAACTCCCCATCCCAAAGGGTAAAGTTGCTATATTAAAGACTTTATTCACTATAAACATATGTTGGGTTGGTCCTTGAATTTGATTTAATTCACAAAGTTAAAGGAGATAGATTAATAACTACCACAAATTGTCATTTTCTAAGAGGTGCTTGATGCTATTGTGTTGCTGATTGTATCACTTAGGCTAAGGTGTTGTAATTGATCTAATCAGTTGTCCTTCCTGGTATAATGAAAATGTGACAGCCTCAGAGCCATTAGAGACTCAAAACCTAAAGACCAGTTATATCTGGAAGACACCTCTTAGAAGCAACCATTCCATAAGTGTTCTAAATACATCAACAAAGATACTTAAAATAAACAACTTCAAAATATCAACCCAGGAACTAAACCAAGGACAGTACCAAAAACAAAAATGAGAAGACATTTAAGTAAGTCACAAACTCAGATTTCTACCCCACAAAAGGCAAATTCTG